AAATATTGTGTTAAAACTTTGCAACAGAAGTGGAATTATGAAGGTTATAAAAGTGTATTTAATTTTGGGTTTAAATTTCTTGAAAAAATTGCTTATTTCCATTTTTTAGGCCTCTTGATCATTTTATGTACACTGCAAGTATTTTAAATAGAAGGTAGGTTGACTAGCTATAGGGGAGAGAATTTGATTCTGGTGTTCAAAGTTGGAAGGAGTTGGGACAATCTTGTTTTTGAATATTTATTGTGGGTAGTTCAAAATACAGGTTTTGACTGTTAGGAATAACAGGTTTGTGATTTGGAAGCCAAAATGTAGACTTGTTCTTTAATTGAATTTTTGTTTTTTTGGTGAGAGTTATAAATTTCTGTATTGGCTTGCCTGTTGATGTGGTAAGTGCAGTTAGTTTGAACTCTCTTAAATTTTATTATATAGGAATGTACATATATATATAGGACTATTTTTAAGTTGGATTAAAGATGAAAGAAATCTTTATCTTAGTGATGATTTTGAGGGACAAATGGCTTTCTGTAACCTAGTATTCGATTTTAGTGTTCAGTAAGAACATTTTGATACTGTGTTTTTTGTGCATTCTTCCTACATACATTTCAGTATTATTAATGAAGTTATCTGCATTGTAAGATTTTCTTTTCTAAGTTCCTCATTTAACCTGCTCTCTTAGTATATAATTGTCCAAGTTTTCTTTAAGTAAACTTTACATTTTCCTCTAATGAAATAGCACTTCAAATAAACTCCACTGGCTCATTCTGGATTTTTTAAAAATTAAACGTTAACCTATGAGAGCAAACAAGTAACTCTAATAAGCTTTTCATGTGCAATGAAATGTTAGAGGAATAATGGATCTAGATATGGCCTTCTAAGCAAGAGTATATTGTATTACGAAACAATTACTGTTATACCTTTGAAGACAAGTTAATTTGAAACAATTGAAAAAATTACTTCGTAGTTAGCAACATGTAGAAAATCAAATGACTAAAACTGTGAAATAGGACATGTACAATTGTCAAAAGAAAAATTGATAGATGTTTTTTGTTTGATAAATTTAATGCTTTTTAACTATTATGTGGCGTTCTCATCTAGAGACCAATTAAACAAATCTGAAAGCAATTATATTAATATTAATGATAGCTATTAATCAGTGTTGTCAGTATTCATGTTAAGTGTAAAGCTGTTCTTTGTCCTATTTGCTGTAACAAAAGCATACTTAGACTTCTGTTTTGTCACAAAACTGAATATCGGTGATTCAGAGCATCATTTGATAATGTAGTAACTACAGTAAGACTACTTCAATAAATATTTCACTGACACATTTCCCCAAAGTTAATTTTCCTTTGAGAATTATAACTTACAGGAGTATATTTTCCATAGACCACACATGGTTTTGGATTTAATGTTTTTTGTTTTTCAATGGACTTTTTTAACTACAATCTTCCTAGCTAGCTGAATATAATCTTTTACAATTAATAGTTTATATCTGTTGGAAAATATCATTAATAAGATCCTGTAAATATTTCATATAGCTTTACCTGAATTAAGCAAAAATCTAGCTGAGTGCAGGTTCAAAATAAGTTTGACATATCCATTTATACTGAGGTTTATTGAAGGTTAGCCAAAACTATCATGAAAATACTTTTATAAAAGGGAAGGTTTCAGAATAATGATTAGTCATCTGATGGTTTCTCTTGGCAACATTTTCTGTAGTTTCTTTTTTTTATAAGAAAATATTCCATCTAGTAAATTGAAATTAGTTTTCTCCTGAACATTTCTCATTTTATACCAAATGACCATTTGATTAATGATACACTTAAGCATGTATCTGTGTATATGTTTTGATCCTCGCATAACATTACATGTAGAAAGTTCAGTATATCTTGTTTTGACCTGATTTATGACATATAAGTGAGATATGTAAGAAAGAAAACACAGAATGAAGCAGGAATTTATTCACTTCTCAATCGTTTTGACACAAAGCCTTCTTCAGAGAGAATGATACAAACAAATACAGACAGCATCTGTTTTGCATATGAGTTCATAATAGTTACAGTGAAATTCTTCACTATAGGCTCATTAAACAGTTATTGAAAAATCACTATACTGTAAGTTGAGATGGTAGATTACAAATATATAAACAAATGATTAATTTTTATATTATGAACAATGTTCTCACAGAATCATTTCAGTTTATCCACTTATATAAATAATTAACAATTTGTTTAAGTACTCTAACATTAGACTTTGGTATCTTACTTTGAACATTTGTGTGTAAGCTTTATTGTTTAAAAATAGTGTTTCATAAGTTTACTGATTCTGTGTTTAAATCTTTGGCTTTTTCTATGTATATTGGAAAATTACATGTAGGAAAACATAAAATGTATTACATGTGATATGTTTAAAAAAATACAGAGTGTAACTTGCAATAATTGTAGCAGAGGAAATAACTTAGGACTAATTATGGTATCTCAGTTGAGTAAGTGATTGTGAAAAGAACATTTTCTAACAAATATTTGTAAAAATATTAAAGTATTTAATATTATTATTATTTACATAATCTGCTCTTGCTGTCGGAGGACTTGTCAGATATTCTTGCACTGAGTCAACAGAAATATCAAACAGTGAACTGTCAAACTAATACTTGAAACTTTAGATATAAGTACATATGCATGTCAAAGTCAAGGTCTAGAAGTATAACTAAGATACAGTATTCCTGATCCTGAATATTCTATGGCTGCTATGAGATTGATGTGAATTGTATAAATACTAATCCCTTGATGATAAAAGGAAAGAATGAGAAATTGAAAGTAAAGCACCAGAACCAGACAATGTAGTTTCCAGGGTTTTAAAGGAGGTTAGAGATCGGATATTGGAACATCTTCTTTCACTTAAAGGTATATTTTTGTAAAGTTTACAGTTAACATGTCAGGTACTACAGATTGACTTGGATCAATTGGACAAATATCTATCAAATAAACTTTAATTACAGTAAGTGCAAAATTTTCAGTTTTCAATTTCAAAGTGTTTATTATAATCAAATCAAAGGTCTAAATATGGGAAATCCAGTTTTACCTGTTTTGGCCAATATATTTATGATCAAAAAAGAAGAAATTGCTATTTCCACTTTCCTACATCCTCCAATGTTCTGGATTCATCATGTGGATGAAATTTTTACTTCTTTTAAAGATTCAAATTCTATTGACAGTTCCTTTCAAGTTTGAATACAGTCCATCCCAACATTAAGTTCACAGTTGAAAATTAAGTTGATGGTATACTTTTGTTTTGAAATATTTTAGTGAAAAAAAAAAGACATACTAAATTTCACACCTTTGTTTTTTGTAAGCATATACACTCAGGAGTTACCTTCATGGGAATTTCTTGCATGATCCTAAAGGAAAAATAGGTATCATAAAAGCTGTTTTCGTACAGGCTTTTCTCACTGAGAAGAATATGTTAAAATCAAATTGTACCACAAAATAAGAATCCTTCCAAAGTGATAAATAAAACTTTCTCTTCCCTAGAGACAAACAATATGAGTTTAGAATCCACCTTACTGTATGTTGCCTTATGTCTCAGTAGAATGTGAAAGCTTAAATAAAATTCAAGTAAAAGTTCAGTAGCACTTTGCCGAATGTTTAATTTTAGCTTCTTTTGAAGAATTAGAAGAGCCTCCTTCACCCATAACATAGTCTCATTTTTAGTTTTACTGATTACTTTGAACACATTGGGGGATTGGACCACATCACATTCACTTAGTATATGCTGAACTGTCCATGATTAAGTATTATTTTAAATAATCTCCCAGTCTTCTGAAAAGTGACCTGACATAAATGTTCACACATGTTGGGCAACAAAATTTATAAATGACTCATGACTGTTGAGAAAACTGGATTCAATCTTTAAACTTGAAAAATTTCTGAATTATCAGTAGCCATCTAAACACACATATATTGAAGGAAAACTTGTGCATTGATTCTTTCTTCAAGATAATGAGTGTGAACCTGAATACAGCAGAGGGATCATTACTTGTAGCTTTGGGACGTCATAGTTTAGTGATCTGGATAGATTTAGTTATTGAATGATTTTACTGATGGTAGAATCTATAAAGTTTTATACAGTTCGTTAGGTGGAAGTACTTAGGTGTTATTGAACAAATTATACTAGTTTCTGTTCAATGTACATAGGCAGTTATATGCTTATGGTACCTTATTCTGTATATTAACCGATTAGAATTTTCCCAGTAATTGTGTTAGATGATAAACAGAAACTTTAGTAAAAGAAATGTTAGCATTAAGAACAGGTTCAGAAGAGAGATATCACCTGACCTATCATTGGAGGGCACTGGCTGTCAACATTCTTGCTTAATGAGCAGCATTACAAATATACTTCCATGAGTAGAACAGCTGTGACCTCAATAGAATGACAAGGTAAAAAAGGCAGCTAGAATGGCATCAACTTAACTTCCTTAACCCAGTGTCATAAGAAAACTTCATAGACTTGGACTAAATGCAAACTTTTGTATAATTCTAAACTAGAATAAGAAGGTAGAAAATGTATATTATGCGTGTTTACCACATAAGTATGATATTCAGTTTTAAGAATAATTATCTTTGAAGTTATGGTTTTAACATGTATATATTGTGATAAAAGTAACCTGTCAGGTAAAAAAAAAACGTTTTTATGCCATGAATAATTTGCTCAAAGTAAAATAATGAATATATATATATGTAATTGTACATACATAAGAGAAACTATACATAAGACTTTTCCCTCAAGATGAAAAACTTAGTTTGTTTGTCTTTATAAAGAAAACTACAACACAGAATTATAGATTTAAAATTTTAACTAGTACCATCTTGGACTATTGAGCCAGTGTTTTTACTGGCCTGGATAAAATTTTATTTGGTCCAATATACTTAGTTTTTGTATGAAATATTTTTCATTACCTTGAAATGCTATCCTCAGGCTTATGGTTACCTTTATTAAATATCTAGTAAGACCTACCTTGAGTTTTAAGAAGATGCAAATGGATGCAGAGTCAAGTGATTAAACAGATGAAAAGTCCACATGAAATACAGAAAATGGTATGAAAAAAAAGGTTAGTATAAAGAACAGAAGGCACACAACAAATACAGACTTTAACCAAAAGTTTTATTTTTCTTTCAAAATGACAAAATAAATAACTCTTATACCATTTTTTTACATTTTCCATATTAGTGTATGAAATGTATCAGAACACCAACTTAAGAGAGTATCTTAACATAATGAAAAATGTGTTAGGCATATTAAAAAAATTTTTTTATTTGTTATAGACCCACTGCCTTTTTTGTTGTTGTTGTTTTTGATTTTGTTTAGGTACTGTAATTTAAACCATTTCATCCAAACAAAATCAATTATTTGGTATCAGTCTTAAAAGTAAAGTCCAGATACTGTGGCTGCTTGCTGCAATAAGAATTATTCAGTAAGTGTCCAAATGCAACTTACGTTATTAAGCTGCACTAGATATTTGGTCACCTAGCCCATTGACCTCTCTGTTGCACAAGCATTGAAGTAATCAGTACAGCAGTTCTCTCAGTGCAAGAGAAAAGCACCATGCTCAACATTTTAATTTTTGTGTTTGTTAGCCAGTCATTCTTTAACTCTTTTGAGAGATGAGAAAATCCTATTCATATGCTGTTGTGGTTATAGGTAGAACAAGAAAAATGCCCAAGATATGCAGAATGTTCTAAAATATTCAATGAAGGCTGTCATTTAAAAAAAAAAAAGCATAGCCTCTGGGATGTCTCTATCTTTCATGCTGGATGAAAATTTCATAGTCCATCCATTCCTGGTTCCATATTAAATGATGGTCACATTTTTGGGAAGAATTGGCTCAACGTTATAACAAGTGCTGCAATATTCTTCGTACTAAAGACTAATGACTCTTGGTAATTTAGAGGCCATTTATTTGTGTCAGAGACCTGAGAAGCCATAAGAACCTTCCTAATCTCTGTGCTGTTACATTGTGCTTTAGATGCTTCTGAACACTGTCAGAGTAGAACAGTTTCTTGGATGTGTACAAATGTACTATGAGCATCTTGATCATAATTTGATAACTACACACTCCAGTATGACCTATCTTGAGATTAATCAGTAAATTCCTGAAGATGGGGGGCCTGGCATAGCCAGGTGGTTAGGGGATTGATTTGCAATCTGTGGGTCACAGGTTCGAATTCTCTGTCCCTCCAAACATACTCATTCTTTCAGCAGTGGGAGTGTTATAATGTCACAGTCAATCCAACTATTTGTTGGTAAAAGAGTTGGTGGTGGGTGGTAATGACTAGCTGCATTCCCTCTAGTCTTTCATTACTAAATTAGTGATGGCTAGTGCAGATAGCCCTTGTGTAGGTTTGCATGAAATTTGAACCACATTAATCCTGGAGATGGTATTCTGGTTGTTGGTATACAGCTGTTAGAGAAATCTGTGAAGTTTCCAGAACTTGAACTGCATCACTCAAAGTTTTAACATCTTGAAGCTCTAGTATATCTAGCAATCAAGTCTGGAGTGAATTTTCTTCCTTTAGCTATATGGTCAAAATTTACCAGGACTGGAGTATAATTTCTTGTAAGTACATGTTGAAAGTTAGGCAGCCATGGTGTTACCGGAAGATTGACAGTTTTTTTTTATTTATTCCTTCATAGCTTAATGAACAGACTTAAGCTCTTTCTAAATTTTGTTCAAAAAATAATATCTGTAAATACCAATAAAACAAGGCTGCAAATTCAAGTTTATGAGCAAGGCAGTGAATACCAACCATAAGTGCAGTCTCATCAGGTCCAAAACTATCAAGTATTTTTCCTTCCACTATAAACTAAACTTGGAAATAACAAAAGAACATGGAAGTTGAATGTAAAAGTACAGTGATGGACAGAAGTTTGCCCACTCCTATCTTTTTAGTGCAAGATGCTTTAATTCATGCTGATATTACCACTTAGGAAATGTGGATATGTATGTATATATGAAAATTCTTCTCAATGCTTTTAGTTTTCAGTTTTTCTAACAATTATTGTGTAAAATATTTGAATTTGAAGTTATGAAGAAAAAATGTTTAAAGCAAAAAGAAATTACTCTTTCCCTTCGGTTAGCAGTCTTATTGTGTTTTTTTAAAAGTTTTTTTTAGTTCTCCCAATAAAATTAAGTAGGAAATGAAAGAAAATCTTGCCTTACAAACATTCTTTGAAAAGGTTACTAATGTATATGAGAGTAAGGGTGTAGATTTGGTGTATCTGGATTTTCAAGAAAGCATTTGATAAGGTGCTACATAAAAGGCTTTTAAAAAAAAGTAGCTCTATAGGTGTGGGGGATAAGTTAGTAAATTGGATAGAAGAGTGGTTGGATGGAAGAAAAACAGAGGTTTGTTACAAATGGAGTTCAGTCAAACTGAATTAATGTCACAAGTGGGGTATCTTAGGCCCTTTACTCTTTTTGATTTATGTCAATGACATAGATGAAGGAATAGTCAATAAATTACTTCAATTTGCAGATGATATTAAGGTCTTGGGTGTTGCTAGCTATGAACAGGATGCTGCTGATTTACAAAATCATTTAGATCATTTAGTGAGTTGGAC